GCCCGCGGGCGGCGCCGCGTCCTCGGCCGGCGGCGGCGGAGCGTACACGCGCGCGAAGGCGGCGCGCGCGGCGCGGTACAGCACGACGTAGAAGAGCAGCGCGACGGCGCTGCGCGGGTCGAAGACGGACGCGACCCGCGGGATGGCGTCCATGCCCCAGTCGAAGCTGAGCCAGCGCGGCCACAGCAGCAGGCCCGCGTTGAAGGCCGGCAGGTAGGCGAAGGTGAGCGCGCGCGTCAGCAGCGACGGGCTGCGCGCCGCCGGGTTGTCCGCCTTGGAGAAGCCCGGCGCGCGCAGCCCCATGAGGTGCAGGCGCAGCAGCAGCAGTGCGCACAGCGCCAGCGCCAGCCCGCACACGCTGCCCAGCACGCCCCGCCCGCTGCGCTGCAACACCACACCAAGCACGCGCACGTCAACGCCAGGCACGCAACGTTCTACGACTCAGACGCAATTCATTAGGAATATTACAAAATGTTAATTAGAACTTTTCACACACTGCTTTAATATGGTAACATATTTATTTCAGTACTTACGTAATTAGTCTTAAATCTTATTAAGAAGTATATGTAATTAATAAAGTGTAAGAAAAAAACTGAAAATTAAATTAAGATGATGTTCCTTTCGGTAAACTATTAGATTAGTAATAGAGTTATAGTATTTTTACTATAGATCTAATGGTCTATTTATTGCATATTAAAAATCATCGATATATTTTCAGATGTAAATATATAAAGATAAATATACTCCGGTATTATTGTATTTTGAAAACTGTATAGATTGATGGAATGACTATTAAGTTTATAACAATAAAAACAAATATTGTTATTTTCATTTGATTCAAAATGGCTTCTTAAAAATCGGCTTCAATGTCGTGTTAAGAAAATATTGTTTATTTCATTAAATTATATGAAACGTAAACATTCTTTAAAAGATAAAAAACATTTTCATTTCTTACAAATCAGAAACATAAAAATTAAATTAAATTACATACTTCCGAGCGTAAACGCGTTCTAAAACGTGATAGGGTGGTGACAATTACATATAAAAACGATCAATACATTACGTCTTAGAACATGTTCGAAAATTGGTTACCACGGAAGCTTAGCGTTTAGAGTAACTGGGCGTACACTACGAGACACGGGTTCGAATCCCGGTTGGGGTGAGAATACTTTGAACCAATTTAATTATTAAAATACCTTTGTTACTCAGTAAGAAGGTCACAACGGTATTTTTCACGCCTGCGAAACATAACGTACGTAACGTACGTAAAGTCTTTCTTCGAAAAATTGACTGGGTGGTAATAACTATAATTTAACTAAAATTCTGCATCTTTTTTTTTGTTTCATTTTGTTGAATACATTTTAAACAGTATTTGTTTCTTCCCAGTCATTATTAATTCTCGAGTCCTCGAATCTTCCAAGCACCGTTCCACAGTCACACACTGTATGTGACGTGAGCCAGGAGGAACCGCACTGTCGTCCCCGGCGACGCCGTCTCTCGCGTCGCAACCCTGCGTGGGCAGCGCGCACATCGTACCTGCTGTCGCGCTCAGCTATGCGTGCGGTAGAACCGGCAACGGTGGGCGCGACAAAATGGCACGAAATAATTGCGAAGGTGTCAGGCGAGCAAGGGGGCTGACGGTAGACCCGGTACAATTCTGGTAATTGTACTACAAGTTGCAGATTTGGTTGAAGAATGTAACGTATTTGCACAAGGAAAACTGAAGATGAGGACGGAATTCGTCCTTACCTTCAGAGTTGTAGTTGTAGTTCCATATTCAGAGTTGAAGTTGTAGAATGAAGTCGTAGAATACTCAGAGCAGTACGTTCTGGGGAAGGTCAGTACACTCTGACGTTGCCCGAAACATCAGCCCACAAGACAGAGACGCGGCTCGTTCCGAATAGCATGTAAAATACGAACTGCAGCCGCGGAGGTCTACGCAATTATATTAATAGTAGAATGCAGAAGGATCCGCTGAGTCGAATGTGAATGAAGTGGCAGAAAGAGAGAGGCAATAAATACGTAAGGAATGGAAGGGTGAAGGCAAAACAAAGGATTAAGAGAAAGAATTTTATACCCTTCTTTAATGTATTAAGTCAAAAACGGTCATGAAATAGGTACCGCAATAAGGAAACACGCGAGAGTTGGAAAAATTGAAGAGGCAGAGGATGGGCAGAGTATACAGTGATATCAGGAGACGAGGGTCTCGGAGACACAAAAAGGAAACTGGGATATGGAGCAGACTCGTAGTCGTGAAAATGAAGCGATGGGTCTCCAAGAAGATGGGGAAGCGAGGCCACGTGGCCTCCTGGTGGGAAGGAGGGACGAGGAGGCAGGGTAGACGTGAATAGGTTACGCGAGGTAATAGGGAGGTATTGAAATGACGGGAGTGGGTGTGTCGGGGCAGTGTTGGGTCGTGAGCGTGGTGTCGTGGGCATGGTGGCGAGAGAGTGTGGTTGCGGGACTGTGGTGGTGGGGGCTTGGTGGCGGGTAAGGGTGGTTGCGTTCGCGAGATGGAGGGTACGTGATGCGGAGGCGTGATGGCAAGAGTGTGGTTGCGGAGGCACGGTGGCCGTATGGCCGGTGGCCGTGTTGAAGGGAGAGTGGTAGCGGAGGAGTGAGCTTCGCTTCTAGCCGCCCTCTCTTGCGCAGCGGGGAGACGAGGCAGAGCGAGGGTGGGGGGGGGGACGAGCGCGCGAGCTTCTCATGTGCTCAGTAACGACGTGCGCATTATAACGCAGACACCGCATGCAAAACTGGCGCCTGCTATACAAACTTCCATGGCGCTGCGCCGGCCTTCTCAGCGGCGTCCTTGGATAACGGCCTGGATATGTTCGATTAGCCAGGGCAGCGGGCGGGCGGGCAGGCGGCGGCAGCAGGCAGGCGCCGGGCGAGGCGGTGCAGGTGCGGGCGCGGCCGTCGCAAGGGCGAAAGCGAACGGCGGCAGAGGTTGGCGAACAGGTTGGGAAGGCGGGCCGCGGCGGGCAGGCGGTTAAGTCCAGCGAGGTCTCGCCTCGCTCGTCTCCTGCGGGCCATACAAGTTGTGTTCTGCCAACGATCACAGTGAAGCTACTCCCTACCTTCCGGATCTTGAGAACACATTGTGTCCATTACTATGCGCATCGCCTACAGTCCACACACACATTTCATTTCTTAACTCGCCCCTTGCCATGATTCTTATACCACCTGCACCACTGTCTACTTTTCTCCTGTATTATCTTTTTATGCCTTTTTATACTCTCTATTATGAAATTCTTGTTAGTGAATCGTAGTACGTCATTACTACCAGTTACAAAATATTCGTGGTCTCTCATTTCTAGGCGGAATATCTTCTAATGGTGTCACCTTCATTCTCCAACAAATATTAAATCAAAAAGAAATTACTTCAACTTTTTTCCTCAATGAATTAAATCATATTTTTCATTGCTTCTCTCTTTTTGCTCTAACTCTTCTTCTTGATTTTTAACATATTTCAGCATCTTAAACCCGACTCATTTTACATCTTAAACTGGAATCTTTGTTAGACCAAATTTACTTCGCAGAAATTCTCGAACATTTGCAGTGTGCACTTCTTTATTACCTCTAATAGCACAAACTCTGTCATTATCAGCATTGTCCTCCAAATCAAAAACTTTCACTATCGATTTCACCTCATAACAAACTTGGTACCACACCTCCGAAAAAAGGATTCAACGGCAACCGTATCAACCTCATTTGGCTGTCTCTCCACTGACCTCTTCCAAAATGAACCTCTCCCTCTTCCGCTGCACCCCTCTCCTTGCATCTCCTCTCCGGCGCTGTCGGGCTTTGCCACAGTGCGCGGTTTCACCCGTGTTTAGGATCGAATGTGGGCGAGTTCATTAAGGAGCTGCATCGACTGAGGGAACGCAGCGAGCGAAGTTTGTGGCCTACCGCAGCAGCAAGCCAACCGGACTCTGATCCGAAATACTGAGCAGGTATTTTTCTTTCGTAAAAAAGAACCCAAAAAATGCGCTACGCTGAATTCTTTCTTAATTCCATTAGGAAAGATGTTAAAATATTTTGGGTTTTTCATTGTCCAGTAGTGAAACGTTCCACCAAACACATTTATGTGGCTTTAAAATTATTTCTCGTTAACCATGGATTTTAACGAGATATTTCAACACTGCATTGTGTTTGTCCCTGAAAATATCAGCCAATTCTTTGAAATTTTTTCCGGGATTCCCTATAATTTCTGGTTTTAAAATAAAATGGTATAATAAACTAAATTAATAGTATAAATTTAAGATCCTACCTTTGGGAAAACTTCTGATTCTCTTTGTCTATATTGAATGTAAGCGTTTAAAAACATTAATAGAAAAGTGTTATTTGTGGTTCCATATTTTCAACGTATATTTACAGTTTTATATTTAAAAAAACTTTCTTCTTTACTGGTTTTTACGGGAGCTCAGAAGAAAAAGTTTGAATTGAAATGTGTTATTTCGTGTTTTCTTTGAAAAACAATTAATGAAGTTACTCGTTTTGACGATTCCAAGCGGATTTTCTTGCAAGGGGGGTTTTCCCACATGATTGAAATTGGGTTTTTTTCAAAAAATCTTTTCAATTATTTTTTTCCTTAAAAACAACCCGCACTTTGACCATCCAGAGGAAAGGCGGTTGTTCTCCACAGGCATCTCAGAGGAACATTCGTCGCTCCTGCAAACTCCATTCCGCCTCATGATTCTATTATAATACTCTTAATTCCAATCTCGTGTAAAAAGTCATTGAAGGACGTACTGTACCTGCATGGATTAATTACTCACCGGCTTTCCATGCTTTCCTTCTGGGCACGAAGCACTATGAAATGTCACAACCTTCATTGACTTGCAAATTACGTGAAGGACTATTTCGTTTCTCTCCCGACAAGGGAAATATTGGTTTTAGCCGCTGCAGCTGCTTACGTTTTTTTGACAAATAGGCTGCAATATTTGCCCTCTCTAAAGTTAATTTCTTGACTCCATCGCTGCCACAGCTCCTGCCGCACGAAAGCGAGGCGCCGCGGGCCGCAGAGTCATATTCCTTGCAGCGGCGGCGCAATTACGCTTCGTCACGCCCGCGGCGCGGAGCCGGCTGTCGCTCTGG